AATAATTCTGCCTTTTGCACGCGTATCCGCATCCGATGATCCGGTTCTTCTAAACTTCGATAACGAAATTGTGAACTAAAGTTAGTCACGTTTAACCTCTAGAATCTTCGTGGACGACTATTTAAATATCATTTGGAAGAAGTAAAAATAATATCAATTGGCATAATTTGTTCAAAATAATCCATCATAATAGTATTGTATATATTGTATATATTCTTTTAAATTTTATACTAATTATACACATTTTTATGCATAATACCTTTTATTATTTAATAAAAAATGAAAATAAAATTTTCATTCTACCTTTGTATTAAATTATAAAACTCTTATCTTCTTTTTTATTTCACATTTATTTCTTTGCTCTCTAGATATGTAAAAATAAATGATGATCTCTCAACAACAATGTCATTTAGATTTCTCTCTTTTCAACTGCGATCTCCGTGACAGAGACGTTCGATTATCTTCCTTTGTCTTTCCTTTTTTCTACGATGGCTGAATCCTCTTTCGCGACGGCAATCTTTCCGAGACATGTAATCGCGCTTTAATGATAGCCGAAGACACGAACACGTTTAAGGTATGCGGGTCAGTCAAGTGAGCAATCGCGAAAGATATCTTCCAAACCTGTTTCTTTATTCCATGGCACTTTAATAGTTAGATTAACTTTTATTAAAATATAAAAGTGTGGGAATTTTTTGAAGTTTTGAAGAGTGAAATTTGTACTTTCACGTTACGTTTGTCCCCTACACTTTCGTTAATTAAATGATGAAAGATGTTCTCATTTTTATCATATTACTTATATTTATTTTTTAGGTTGATATAAACTGTAGAAATGAATAACAAATAACGTTTGGCATATATTCGCCGTGACTTATATATCGCCGAAATTGATCAAATTTGCTTTGCTGCAAGTAAAATTTTGTCACTGCTAGATGTGGAATCGTATTCTTTAAGATAAAATTTCTTTAAGGTAGAATGTATTTTAATTAATATATTCAAATTTTTTGTAATCTTATACGTCTGAAGTTCTTTTAATTAAAAAAGAATAATTAAAATTTTTAAGTATATAGTTTTAGATGTGATGATAATTTCTTTGTTATTTTATTTGAAAATCGCATTTAAATTCTGCTATACGAATAATTAAAATTGCAATGAAAGAGGGTTACTTGATTATATTAACATCTCTTACACAGGTAATTAGTACGTATGCAGTCGCACGAAATTGTTTATCATAAGTGTGATACTTAACTTCCAAAGAACAGTTGATCATTCTATTTCCAACCGTTGTTGCATAAATATCTCGTGTTTCATTTTTACTCCAGCCGCGGCGAAAAATAATTGGATTATTCGTATGCATTAACAAAATAAAAACTCGAAAGCCAGGAATATCTCTCTCTTTCTTTTTTACATTCTCTTCGATGTCTATATCTTCATTATTCGCACACGTTTGATGAAGAATATTTTTATAGCACAAAGGGTGAAATAATCTTGTTATGCGTCTGTGTATTTTAAATGCAGTAACAGTAGTTCTTTACTTTTTATCACAGTGAAAGCACAAAGATAAGAATTCCGAGTAAGTATAAATATACATAATTCTCGCGCCAGTATAAAAATAAACATTCGTACGTGAGTACGAAAGTTATTAGTTAATATAAGATCATGGTTAAATATAAAATAAAAGTCTAAGACCAGTATAAAAATGAAAATTCTATGTCGACGAAATATTTTATATATATAAAATAAGAATTTCTTTGTTGTATAAGCGTGAAATATTAAATTTTTACAAATGCGAGAAATATAATTATGTGCTAGGATAGCGATTAAAATTTCACTAGAGAACGTAAAAAATAGAATATCCTACAAGCGAAATATTCTCTTCCGTTTTTCGAGAGTTTTGAGAGAATACAGTTTTTTTTTTATATTTTTGAAATAATCGTGAAATTTTCATTTATCGTACAAGTTGTAATTACATTCGCTTATCCGTTGGCGAGATATGTCATTGTTCAATAATTTTGCTATTGAAATACGTGCGCGGGACGCGGATTCATGTTCGAGTTAATCTCGGCTTGGTGCGAGGAGATACATAATCGAAATAAAATCGTGAGTTTTATCGTCATCCATTTATTGGATGACGATAAATCGTACGCGCGCGACGCGACGCGTACCAGATAATTTTTGGAAAAAAGCGTTTCTCACACGGCGGCATGATCGATGCACCGCCTCGAATCGAATCAAATTTAATTGCAGCGCAGCGACTGCGTAAATCTCAAGTGATCGAAAACGCATTAATACACGGATAATAAAGCGGATAATAAAGTGTCGTTCGCAAAACGACAAGGACAGAAAATTGTCTCCGCGAAAATTGGAAATTGTATTTCTGCTCAGTCGATGTTTCTGTTGTAGCCATTAGACGCCGATAAAACGTTTCGCGCTCATTATTTTGCCTTGATGAGTGTCTCTCGATTTGGAAATGCTTCGATTGCGAGAGTATAATGAAGTTTCAGATACAGAAAAGTAGGACGGAACGAGCGATTAATCGATTCTCGTACGTAACTCGTACGTAATATTACAATATCTAGCAGTGTAAGAAGAGAAAAATAGGAAAATAAAAAAATCAGCGAAATGTTCTTGAAAAGCTCGAATGCGGTCTTTTAATTTGAGAGAAAGAGGAAGCTTAGGAATTGTCGAAATAAAATTTGAAAAAGTAAAATTTTACTAAAGAAGCGTAAAAATGGAAAATTGGAGAGATTAAATTTAAAGTAGATGAGTCACGAGAACGTCCTGTCTTACAAACAAAAAGTAAATTTTGAAGCTGAAAACAAGTCAGGATTGAAAGATCTTGATTTAGGTCAATAATTATACGAGATTTATTTGCGTTAAACTTCTCAATCCTATTGTGCGAAGTTGAAAAAATTCTTAACCGGTTTCACCGGAACTAGTCGAGGTCTCGATACGTCACTGGATCCTGGCGCCGTGTCGTCGCCCTGTCCAATTACTCGCTCTCTTGTTTCTTTCCACACTCGGAAACGCTACTCAGGCCGATCCCGCCCCGGCCGTCCCGGTCCCCTCAGTCCTTTTCGCGAGAGAGGGCAATGCTAGACGGATCGTTTGTTACCGATAAAAGCGCAATGAGAGTAACATGCGGGAGCTGCAATCGACGTAACATACCGAGCTGCCACCCACGAAAGCGCGTTTAGCGATGACTCAGCGGCGCGATCGATGCTTCCGCAATCGTTTATCTTCCTTCCTTCATATTTTATTCGTTTTTTTTTCCCTCCCTCATGGTGACTTCTGCGTCGACCACGATGACTGGCGAATTCAGGTCCGGTGACTAGTCGATCTGAAACCACCTTCATGGACACTCTGGAATCGCGTACGACTCTCCCGCTGACTCATACGATAAACCGCAACGATTCTCCTATCCGGATATATGATGCGTTTATTAAAAATGTCTTGTAACGCAGGACAATTTCATCACTGTTTCCGTGCCATTTTCATTAGAGGCAACATGTCACCATTGACCTTCCGCACAAAGAATCAAACGAATAAAGGAGGATTTGCGTCATGTTCATATTCGTACAAGGTCGAAAAAAATTGATGAAAACACTTTCTTCGAATTGTAATAATAATTTATTTATTTCATATATTAATGATTAATTATTATTTTAATCTAATTAAATTTAATATCAATTTTGAATCTATACTATCGAGGCGTTACTAATTGTAAGAAATTTATCTTATGTGTGCGCATTGAATGAAATACTTTCAATTGAAATACTTCAGAATCTGTAAAAGAACTAAGGAATTTTTTTCATGTGATATTGATGCAAGCTTTCAACAGTGACCAATCCAAACCAAAAAAAGTTTAAATTAAAAAACTTATCTCTATAGCTTGTATATATGATGGTGTGTCAGAGAATATATATATTCTATATACACATACATAATTACATACTCAATATAATCTACTGATATTTGCAAGAAATTATCTTATATCTTATATCTTATAATATTCATATATATACATTGAGATCGTTACAAAATGCATATCACAAGTATCACATATTATACACGTTATATTATCACTTTTATATGAAATAATTATTACTGTAATTAATTACAGTTATAATTAATTCTATATAATGTTAATTTCTATAAAAAAAATTTGGGTAACATAAACATAAATTAATGATCTAAGTCTTTCGATAATTTTTATTTATATGTTTTCATAATCTAATACAAAAAATTGAGAACACTGATAAGCTCATGTCAAATATTTTATAATTTTAATGTATGATTCTTATTAATCAATGATATTTTTATATAATTTGATAAATGTATATAACATTTGAATACATTAAATATGTATGTATATTTTATTATATACATATATATTTTTACATGTAATTTTAATATGCGTATTATAATTATTTAATATTGATAATATTATTAAACGATATTGATAATATGCTACAATATGAAGAAGTACACAAATTTATTTACATCTTAACAATATTGTTGTCCATTAAAATTTTTGCATTCCTAAATTATTTATATTGTTCTTTATTTAAAAATTATGCTATATTCACTCTAATACTTTTATAGTAAATAACTCACTATGAAAACATTTTAAAACACAATTTAAATAAACGTCAAAGTGCGTTTATATTTTAAACGAAGTCATGAAGATACTTTATAATTCTATTTATTAATTTTAACAATAAATTTATAATATTAAAATTGTATTCTTAATAAGCGTATTAATTATCTTATATTATCTTATTATTAAAGTAATATTGTCACTGTAATTAATATTGTAAGTTTTAGACTGTAATTTAATAGATGTATTTTATCATTAATAAATTTAAGATTTTCTTAAAAGATTTATTTTCAAGATTTATGTTAATTGTATGTATAATATACTATTTTATAAAAATATTTACTATTAAATTTAATGTTAAAATTTCTTAACGTCTAAGATTTATATATATTTAAGGTTTATATATATAAGATATTTTTTTATAATACAATATTATTAAAAAAAATACTTAGAAATGCGTTGCTAGGAATTCATTTCGCAAGTTGTCGTTATAGTATTATAGTTTAATGAATTATTGCCAATTGTAATAACAATTGAGTCCTATTTTTGGATGAAATAACTGCTGTAAAAAATAGATTGTTAAAAATTAGAATTAATACGTAATTATTAATAATACAACATAGAAAAAGTGATAAATAATGAGATCAAGTTTTAATAGAAAGAATAACTTTAAAGTCAATTTGATATTGGACAAATATTAATTTGTATATACAAGAAAGAATTAATTATGTTATTAAAACATTATGTTATTACAACAACAACATTGTGTTAAATGTATTTTATATTATCTTCTAAAAAAATAACAAGATAAAAAGAGCAAAATAAACATAATAAAAATAACTTGTGAGATAAAAATTCTATCAAATACATGACACACACACACACACACACACACACACCCACACACACACACACACCACCACACACACACACACACACACACCACAATAAAATAAAGTATAATAATTAATTTAAATCAATTTGAGATTATTGTAAATACAAAACAAGAAGATATTCTACATTAAGAAGATTAGAAAAATAGAATCTCACATATATCATACAATTAGAAGTTTGATTTAAAAAAAATTTTTATTTTGTATTCATCCAATGTTTTATATAAATATGTATTATATATTATTATCTTTACAGATAACATATAATCGCATAATTTTCTTCAATGTAATATTACTTACTTTAAAAATGTTTAATTACGCATTGGATTAAATAGTTTCTTCGCCTGAACCTTGTGTAAAAAGATAATGGAATACCTTCTCGATCTATCGACTGAAACTTAATAGATATAGTTTATCAATATGACTTAATTTAACATTTTCTTTTAGTATGATTAGTAATTTTCACGTAGAAATTTGTTGAAAAACGTAAAATAATTTAGAAAATTCATTTTTGGTAAAATACTAATTTGAATTGTAATTACCGATATCTACGTTGTTGCATATATCTCCTCCAAAGAAACCGATAAATGCATCGAATGCAGCGAATAATCACTTTCATGAAGAAATTTTTACAGCAATGCCAGGAACTTAAACATAATTTTTATACATATATATATATATATTTATATAATAATAAATTTATATAATTTATTTATATGTATATATATATATAAAATATATATTACATATATACATTGTATGTATGTATGTGTGTATGTATATTACTTTGACGCGCGCGCGTGTATATATGTACGTTTTGATTTATATATATGTAACATGCAATATTATATATATATAT